AGGGAGCCCAGGTGGTTCACTCTGCAGACGTGAGCCTGCCGAGGGGCAGGTGGGGAAGGGCGCAGTTACTCCAGTCCTGTTGCTTCCTAGCCATTGTTCTGTCTCCTTAATTAAGACTGCCGGTCTTGAAGTCTTTCTGAGTCATTTTTGGATGGAAGAAGCCTCGGGAAGTTGCATGGGACTTCGTGAAAGCTGCTGCCTCTGAGCCCACCGTGGGCACCTCTGTGGAGGAGCCCTACGTGGACCGTGGAGTTTGGTTGCCTCTCTTTGCCTCCTGACTCTGCTGTTTAATGAGTGTTGCTTTGGGTAAGCTGCCCAACATCTCTGCTCATTTCCTCGTCTGTAAATGGAGCTGATTCCGACAGGCGCTTCCTAGGACAGTTACTAGGATTAGGGTGAGGTCAGTGTGTGAAGCCCTCAGGTCTCTGGTGCCACAGGTAAAGTCCAGAAAATACCAGTTGTCGTGAGGACCAGCGGAAGTGCTCTGCCACGAACCAGAAATGGGCGTCCTTTTTTCAGATTCTTGAAAGGTATTGCAGTTGTGTTTTTTTGTTTGTTTGTTTGTTTGTTTTGACAGGCAGAGTTAGAGAAAGAGAGACAGAGAGAAAGGTCTTCCCTCCATTGGGTCACCCCCCAAATGGCCTCTACGGCTGGCGCACTGTGCTGATCCAAAACCAGGAGCAAGGTGCTTCCTCCTGGTCTCCCATGGGGTGCAGGGCCCAAGCACTTGGGCCATCCTCCACTGCACTCCCGGGCCACAGCAGAGAGCTGGCCTGGAAGAGGAGCAACCGGGACAGAATCCGGCGCCCCGACCAGGACTAGAACCCGGGGTGCCGGCACCGCAGGCAGAGGATTAGCCTAGTGAGCCACGCGCTGGCCAGGTGTTGCAGTTCTTAGCATACACCCCTCCCAGCTGCCTCTGTCACCTCAGGGAAGTGGAGGTCTCTGGAGCCCACTCTCAGTTACACAGGTAGACAAATAGATGTTCTCCTTGGAAAATAACCACTGCTGGGTGTTCTCCTGTGGTAGGTAGTCACACCCTTTTCTAGCACAACAAGAAACCTGCTGGTGTTTGGGCACCTGACTCCTACCTCCCCTCCCTTTCCTGCTCCTCCCCCTCCCCACTAGGTGGCACGCTGCCTGGCTTTGGCAGATCATTTGAATTCACTTATTAAATATAAAATAGGTCAGGTTGTAGGCCAAAATGGACTTGCTTTATGGTTTCGGTAGTAATGGGTTTTGGAAGGAGATGAGAGTTGTGTGTGTTGCTCCATGAATTCTCATTGAAAGGTTTCAAATCCTCCAGGAGTTGCACACAGCGTGCATTGTCTTTCAGTCGTGCTGGGAGCCAGTTCTAATACATCGTTGTATTAGAATGGGTCTTCCCATCTTTATAAACCCTTCATATTTTTTTCACTGTGAGTAGTCTTTCTCTTTTTAGGTTTTCTTGCTCCAAAAGAACGTATGTGTGTTTTAAAAAGAGAAGGGAAAGGATGAAGAAAACAGTAGTGACCAGCTTCGTCACTGTGTAGGGATTGGGTTTTTCTCTGGCCGAGGCAAGCATACAGGAGGCCAGTCCTCAGCAAGATAGGTGGACAGTTTCAGGTTCTCTTCCGTTTATTTCCTGTTTCTTCACGCGTTATTTATTCCAACTTTGAGTCAAATTAAAGAGTGATATTATAGAAGAGACACCAATAATTCCTGGAAATACTTAGAAACTATTTCAGATTTTAGAATTAGAGTTTACTTGGAAAATTTTTTAGAATTTGAAAATACCATAAAGTAAAAATATTTGAGCTTCTGCTTAAAAAGTTAATGTTAAGGCTGTTAAGGGCAAAGCATTTTTTCAGTTTGAAATCTTTTTTAAATAGCAATTTAAAATATGTTTGTTAGTTTAAAAGTTACGTTTAAATTCCCTCTAAACTCTTTGACTCCTCATTTCTAAAATTAATTTTTTTTAAATTCTGGAATTTCAATTTATATAGACATCTTTTTTAGTGTGAGCATGTCTGAGTGTATCTTACACCTGATTAAAAACACCATTTTCCTTAACCTGTCGACAGCTCAGTTGAGCAGTCAGATTGTGTTACTCAGTATCTTGTCTGACACAGGATGGCAGCCCAAAGAGAAAGATATCACAAATGGGTGCCACACGTCAATAAATAGAGACATTTTATTTTGCGCCAGGCTAATTCAACCCAGTTCAGCTTGCTCTTTTTTCCCCCTAAAGGACGGATCAGAAAAGGCAGCCGTGAATGACCGAGTTTGTCCTGTGTTTGACACGTCAGTGTGTGAATAGAAAGCAGACCCCAAGAGAGGGCTTCTGGCTGGAGATTGCAGACAATGGCCTGCCCCGGAGCGCGCTCACTGTGCTCTGCCCCGTGGTGGGCTGCAGCGGTCCCAGGTCACTCAGGCACCACGGGCACCTTTGTTCCCCCTTAGAGTTGTGACCTTGTGAATGTTGTCTTCCTGAACCATTCTCAGCGGTTGTCAGGTGGTCACTGAGTTTCATTCTAGTTCCGTATTGTTAGTGTTGTGATTTTTTTTTTTTTTTTGGTTAAAATCCTTATCTTAAATGCCTGTTGCTTGACAACCCTTGACAGTAAATGTACCAGTATTTCTGTGTCTTAGTTCAGTTTCTTCCTGAGACGTACTGAAATGTATACAGTCATAACATCAAACATGCTCAAGGATGCAATGGGATGGGTTATGCCACCAAACATGACACATTTACTTACGGTTTTTGAGAGAAGGGGACATTGGCAAAAACACTGCCCATTGCTCAGTGGTTTGGATCTACAGCCCTTGCAGAACCCCTCCAGGCCTCCGCCACCCGCCCCTCCCTGCCTGGTGTTCCAGTGTCTTTGATGTCCCATGGCGCCGGCAGCCATCTAGAACCCCCTCCTCCGCCTGCCACACCTGTCCCTCGTGTAGTTAGTCCTGCTGTTCCCGTGGGTGAGGCCTTGGACTGACTGACTGCAGCGATGCTGACTTGGCTGAGATTCAGGGCTTCACAGTGCAGCCCTGCTCAGGAAGGGGGCCTCTACACAGGGGAGGGGGCTGGGGCCGTGTGTCCCAGCTGGACAGCTCACCAGTCACCGGCCCTGTGACCGCCTGCTAGTCAGCTAACCTGTCTGGGACTCATTTCCTTGTTTTTAAAGTGAAGATGCAAAGGTCTGGGACCATAGGACCCCTTAAGGGTCATGAAGATTGAGTTATGTTTGGTGAAGGCCTGAGAACAGTGTGTGACGCAGCTCAAGTGCTGTGCACATAATGTATGAAATAAATTTAGGAACGTGTTCTCTCTCTAGTTCCTGGGTTGTGTTTTGCATGCTGTGAACTCGGTTAATCTTCGCAGTAGTCTTAGGTGGGAGACACTGTCGGCACCCTCGTTTTATAGATGAGGGACCGAGACACCATCGGAGTTCACTTGCGCAAGGTCTCGCAGCAAGCACCGCAGAGCGAGGATTTGCAGTCACTGCTCAGCTCAGGGTCCTCACCCCTTCTCACCAGCACCTCGGAGACTGTCAGGCCCAAATGTAAATCATTTTGTCCTTGAGGGCATGGCCATCAGTGGAGTGAAATGCAGCAGATTGTGTTTCTTGACCCATTAGAGAACACACTGAGATAATGGGGCAGGGAGAGGCTAGTCCCCCTGGACCCTGATGTTGCCTGTCTTGCAGGGGATGGGAACCACATGTGTTAGCAGCTGTCGGGCCGAGGTGGACTCTACAAAAGCCTGGAGTCCGCCTTTGTCATCGTTTTCTTTTAAGGTGCCCTCGCCAGGCTCTTGACGCTCCGCTGGTCCAGGGCCATGCAAAATAGCAGAAGACGTGTCAGGCACAGAGTGTGTAAGTGATGAATGTAGGTGTTTGAAGCATGCTTGCCTCTTCTGTGTCTCCCAGCTCTAGTAGAATACAGAGTCTCTCCACAGGAGCTCCACCTAGAGCAGGTCAGCGCCAGTTCTGGGAGCTGGTACTGCAGGTCTCAGGCACAGCGGACGAAGCCTTGGCTCCGTGGGAAATGCGCCGGAGGTGGTTAGATACACGTGCCTGTCATTCCTGCGCTGTAAATGTTTTCCAGGAGTTATCCAGTGGCCAGACTTTTTGTCACACAATGATAAGTTTTAACAATGGGTTTCTTAAAAGGATGTGCAGATAGCGAAAAACAAATCTGTTGTGCACCAACGTCTCCCTGTGAGTGTGGGAAAGAAAGGCTGCTAGCACAGTAATGCTGAGTAGCGGCTGGCTCTAAGGCTGGTATCTTAAGTGCTGGGTAAAAATTAAACTTGGGCAACACTGATGAAATATTGACTCATCAGATGGCTTTGAAGTTCAGCTTCTTTGGGGTTGCAGTCGCCTTCCTAATGGACATGTTTCAAAGAAGAAAATGGTTACAGCATTCAGCTGTGATGTGTTTTATTCTCTGCATGGGAGAAATCTTGCTTTGGTCTGTTTTGGTATTTAAATTTTGAAGACTAGCTACTTAGAAATCACATTAGTGATGTAAATGGTTCCTACAACTCTGAAATAATTTTCATTGATAGGTCAATATTTGAAAATTATTTTTTCTTGTACTTGTAGCATTTTAAAGGTTGATTTAACTCATTTCTTCTGTGATTTTTCCAACCCAAGTTTATTAATTCTCCCGTTGTTTTTTTATCAGAAGGTTTACGGTGAGTTGTGGGTGTATAAAATGAGTAATACGTTATCAGAAGTAGTTTTGTAAACTGCATTGCTGGGTAATATATTTATGTTTAAAGATTTTAGAAATGACATAGAGGTACAGTTCTAATGGGAGCGTCAGGTTTTTTCTTTTCATAGTTTAAAATTTTAGGTGCTTTAAGATTGTTGAATACTGTTTTCCTTCTCTATCTTGGATCACATTTTACTCGGGCAGTTGAAGATTTTAAGAAACTTTTGCCACAGTGTTCATTAAGATGTTTTTGTGTTTCTTAAGGACTTTGACGCACTTTAACGTTTATCTTTGTGTTTTATTAGTTTTCATATGAATCCGACAAGCGATGAAGACCTCAGGAAAATCCCGGTGAGTTGTTGAGGGGCTAGAGAATTACTGAAGCAAGCTGGCGTCTCTGGCTCATGTGTCTGAAGGTGCCTTCCTCCCCTCTGTGCCTCAGAAGGGCTTAGCGTGGTAATTTTGTGAGATTCAGGTTTTGCCTTTAATAAACAATAGAATGTGACATCTGTACGTAGATCTATGTATAGGATCTATGAAACTTCAAGTAAACATAGCTACAGTTGAAGCCAGTTTAGAACATACATATTTTGTTTGCAAAGTATCCTGAAATTAATGTGAAAGCTGTAAGTGCAGATCAACAGCATAGTTAAGAAAAGAGAGCACGTGGAGAAAACTAACATTTTTGGTTGTTGGGACAAGGATTTCGAAGACAGAATAAAGCCGCTTGTTAGCTTTCAGCGATGGGGAAACATCCTGGCAGAGACCCAGTTAACCAGAAAGTACTTGAAAGCAGAAGTAGTGGAGGACACCTGTCTGGCTGGTCAGAACAAAACCAGATATGTTAGAGGATAGGCAGCAGCCAGCTAGATAGCTCCTGGGTTCTGTGAGGATTCTTCAGCTCCTCGCTTCATTTTATTGTTGTTTGAAGTCCAGTGTTGGGTGTCTATTCTGAGTTCCATTGCGACTGCAGTCAGTTCTAAATATTATTAAACCTAGAGCATTGTTACTGTACAAAAATACGGGCAAATGGTCGTAGTAGAAAGCTAAATTCTCACGAGTAACAGAAACAGAGCTTTGATTCCAGGGGGCTTGTGGTTGAGTTTTAGCCATCTGTCCTGAATGTGTGTGATCCAGATGTATAATAAGAATTTTTTTAAGTGATCACATAACAATTTTTCTAGGATGTGATATGGCTAGAACTAGCCAAAGTGGGGTCAGGCTTTATTTTATAAACCATTCTAAATGCAGTTGTCTGTCGTTAAAATTGCAGAAAACATAGAAGCAGAGGACGTTGGACTGTGTTTTTGCTGTTTTATGTAAATGATTTGTAAGTTTTGATGTTTCATAAATACTCAAGTCTTTATAATGCAGCAGTCTGGCGAGAAATGTCAGAAGAGATGGAGTCAGCCTTTGATCAGGTAGTAAAATGAATTCTATCAGACGCTACTTAATCTCAAACAAAGTGCAACATCAAAAAATCGATTTAATGTGTAGCTATTGTTTATTAAATAACCTTAATTACAATTTCTATGTGCTTGTAAATGTACTTTTCCAAATCTTGTAATTTATTGCTATAAAAGCATCCTTAGAATTCTTTTAAAGAAATAAAATGTGAAAATTGTTTTAGTTAAAGGATTTAAAGGTGATAAAAGAACCCTTGATGTGTGATTATTTTTCTCTGGAATACTAACTATTCTAAATGACAGTTTAAGGATTACTAGGTGTTGTTAAATTACTGCATGATACAATTAAGAGGAGAAAGCTCATCTTCATTCTGATTGTTATTGAGGAAAAGTATTTGAACAATTTTTCTGTTGAAGATTATCAGATGTTTGAAGTAATTTACATTAAGTTCTCCAGTAATCGCCATCCACCGCGTTATTTTTTCCCCTCCTGGACGTGGTTTTTGTAATTAAGTTTGTGTGTCTTCCATGCGAGTGCCAACACCTGTCTGTGGAAGCGCAGTGTTTAAACAGGAGCAGTAGCCAGTTGAAAGGGCAGTGTGAGCTCTTTAAGGCCTAATTAAGAACTGAAAGGGAGATGAAGGGAGTCGGACAAAAGATGTGAAAGTAGCTGAGATGATATTCCCAGAGCAGAGTTCCTCATTAGAACAATAATGAGATGATCCGAGAATGCCAAGCCTTCATCTCCTCTCCCCGCTCCCCGCTCGCTGCCTGGCCTGTCAGTTACTGCCCCACCAATATTTGGTTACCAGGACAACCTTTCTTTAAATCTGCAGTTATTTCGAGTCCTGATAATTCGCTTTTGTTTAAATTTAAGTATTGTAGAAAATATACATTTCCTAGTTTAAAAGACTTATCTGTGGGTAAAGATAGATTGCTAGTAATTCTCAAGGTTCTATGCACAACTGTATCATTCAGAATTCCTGTGAGTGAAACTTACGTCACCATTCTCTCACCCAGTCCCCACTGTCTTGGATCTGTGTGGACCTTCTAAATGGAGCTGGGTAGGAATGAGAAAGCATTGGTTGTAAAAGGGGAGGAGAAGGAAAATTTTGCATTAAATTTCCAAATAAGAGGTCATCTTAAAAACATGCGTTGAGTGCATGAACTACTGTGGGGAAAGGTACTGAGTACTTAGCAGTTTCCTTGTCGGTTATAGTCGGTTTTTATGAGTTTAGAGACTTCTCTAATTTTACAAAAGTAGTAGTAAAGGCACCTTTCGGGAAAGTTAGTCTTGGCCTGAGAGTTTTTAAGCGAAAGTGATTTTTGTAACCAGAAAATACTTTCGTTTTCTATTAGGTATTTGTAAGTAATCTTTTATTATTTTATTTGGAGTTATATTAACAGAGATTATTTAATATTTATTTAGAATATTGGTCAATTTAGGAATCTTAATCCTAAATTTAGAAGGTTTAACAGAGGGTTTCAAGTATGGTATAAAACCTGGAACTAAGCATGAAACTGCTTTTAATTATTTTATATTCTTTTCCAGAATGTAGTTTATAGTACATGTGTTTCTAAGATGTTTTCTTGCCTAGAAACTTGATACTGAAATTTGGGGTAAAATTTTCACAAATGGAAAATTTATTGAAAAGACCAAAAGTATATTTCCAGCAAATCTGTCTTATTCATTAGTATTAGATCATTGTGAGGGGGAAAAAAAGCCAAATGATACATTTGTTTACTCTAGATTATGGCTATAAAATGATGAACAGTATTCTGAGATAATTGATTACTTCAAGAGATTCAGTTACTCGATTGAATTATATCACAGCATTAGATTGCTCAAATTGAAATAAAATTTTTTGTACCTTTCATTTTCAGTGTCTTTAGAGAAAAGTTTAAATTATGTTGGTAGTACTGGTTAGTGGTAATTGTAGCAGTACAAATGATTTTTAAAGAATATTTCATCACTTAATTGAAGAATTTGGTTCATGTATTTATAATTTTATTTAGACTAGAGAGACTTGAACAGATGCTATTATTTTGCTAGATTGAGACAAAGCATAAACCAATCAGCAAACCTCATTTTGTTTGATTTCATTAATCCTTAAAATTCTCATAAGAACTCATTTATGTAAGTGTTTTATTAGAAAAATAAAATCACATTACTTGGATTTTATTAACTTTTTAAAAAAATTGATTGTGTATTTGAAAGTCAGAGTTACACAGAGAGGAGAGGCAGAAAGAGAGAGAGCAAGAGAGAGAGGTCTTCTATCTGATGGTTCACTCCCCTATTGGCCACAATGGCCGGAGTTGCACCAGTCTGAAGCTAGGAGCCAGGAGCTTCCTCCGGGTCTCCCACACGGATTCAGGGACCCAAGGACTTGGGTCATGTTCTGCTGCTTTCCCAGGCCATAGCAGAGAGCTGGACAGGAAGTGGAGCAGCCAGGTCTCGAACCGGCTCCCGTATGGGATACCAGCACTACAGGTGGCGGCTTAACCCGCTAGGCCATAGCACCAGCCCCAGACTTTATTACTTTTAAAAGTACAGTTGAGAAACTTCACTTTGTGACCAGAAAATGTTAGAGTTGAGGAGGACTTTGGCAATCTCAATTGTCAGTAAAGGAAAGTGAGGCGTTGAGTTTGTAGGTGTGTATTTGTCAACTGTTCTGACCAGTTACATAAACTGGTCGCTATGTTGTATGTGTGTTGTGTGTAGTTACTCTTATAAAAAGATTAGTTGATCTGAAGGGAAGAAAAGAAAAAATAATCCAACACTTATCCTAGAATCATCCTTTAAAGGTTTAGAGTAATATTTGAAATGTTTTTAGTGAGGAAAGTAATATAAACCTACAAATTACATCTGTTCCCAGTTTCTAATGCCAAAATAAAACCAGTTGTCTCTTCCAGACTGTAAACTGACTTCCCTTTAACACCCTCCTGATTCATTCTTACTGACTCTAGTCTTTATTATTTCAGTAGCCCATAACTAATGTCAGCCCCTCCAAATGATCTGGCCCGCTGTTGCCACTTTAATTTTCCTAGAGCGTACGTAGCTTTAATCGTGTCATTCTTCTGGTTAGAAACCTTCAATGACTTCCTGCTTCCCATAGCAAGAAGTGTAAGATCCTAAATGATGGCGTTCCGCATCCTTGGTGGTCTAGTTGGAGTCCGGCGCATTTCAGCTTCTCTGCTCCCCACCTTCTGCCTTGTTTTCTAGCTGCGCCACCGACTGCCCGTTACTGGCCACTGTGCCTTGAACCTTACTTCCTTCTTTGAATAAGCAGACCCCACTGCTTAGCACGCCTGGTCGGCATTTCTGCCTGCGGTCTCTGGAGGCCCCGTGCAAGCTGTGTCCTTTCCACAAGGCCTCGGAGTCACTATGACATGGGAGAAGCCTTTCAGTCCCGCAATATCTGTTGTTTCTCTTGGGGAAGGGCGTGTGCTCCCGTGACCCAACACCCGGTTGAAGTCTGTGCTCTGGCTTCTGTTTCCAAAGCCACGGTGAACTCGGGGAGGGAGGAGCGAAGAGCGAGGCGCTACTGGTGGAAGCGCCTAGACACAGAGCAGAGGTAGAAGCAGGTGCTGACAGTGGAGGAAGGTTGCAGGGAGAGATGTCTGTCTGTCGGTCCCTCATTCCCTGTTCTCCAATGAATGGATTTAGTACTCTTGGGCCTTATGAGTAAGGAAAAGCAACTGAATAATTGAGTTGATTTTCCTTAAAGTCAAATGGAAATATTTTGAAACAAAGCAGTGACAGTTGTGTTAAGTTGTCCTGCTTAGTAATGTAACTGTTTTTAAAAAGGTGTAAAAATTGTTACTTTTTGGGGGACATTTTTATTTTACACAAGTGAAAACTGCTGTTATAAGGCCATTCTTGATTTGTGAAAAGTATTTCTTAGCTTTTGGTATTACATTGATATTATTGATGTTAGTATTATAATTTCTGATAGAAAATTCATTTATATTAAATGTGTGCCTTTTCATTTTTTGATTTACATTTTGAATTTTCATTAATAGAATAGGGCTAACTAAGTAAATGAATGAGAGAAAATGCAAACATACTAGCCACAGTATTTAACATGGTTGTAATTCAACTCCTGAGTTTTCTGATAAACAAGGCAAAAAAGAAACAAGATCAATTAGGTGGGTATTACTACTCAGAGGAGGAAGTGGGGAAGAAAAGGTTCTGCCTGCTCTACGACAGAAGGGACTCCCGTAGGGTTTTGTGTAAGGACGCCCATTGATTTAATTCCACGTGCTCGATATTTTATTACAGTTTGGAGAAACAGATTCTGTGTGGCTGTTTCTGTGGCCACCTTCAGTAAAAGGCCAGGGCATAACGTTAAACCACGGGCAGTAGAAACAGTTCCATGAACACTAACGTCCAAACGGATAGCTTCCAGTGACTTCCTGTAGTTCATTTGAATTAATTCTTCAAAATTTCTAGTTTTAATGTATTTCAGTTACATTTTTTTATAGAACATTTCATTTCTTAATTGAGTGTGGGATTAATGTGGCTGGTCTCTGATATCAGGAGATTGTCAACAGGGTGAACAGTTTCAGAATTGAGAGTTGTAATCAAGGCTTTGGGGCATGTGCCCTAGTTCTTGCCACAGACCGGCTGGCCAATCTGTGAACTGTCAAAATAGTTGTGGCCAAAGATGGAGGAAACTTGGTCAAGGTTTGAAATAGCATCAGTTGAAGTTCGAGATAGGTGCCAGTGTTCCATCCCTGGTGGTGCTCCCACTGAAGTGACGGCTCTTCCGTTCCAGGACAGCAACCCCTTTGACAGCTCTGCGGGGTACCGGGGTCTGACCTACGAGGAGATCCTGCAGGAGCTGCTGAAGCACAAGGAGCTGCTGAGGAGGAAGGACTCGCACATCCGGGAGCTGGAGGACTACATCGACAACCTCCTGGTGCGGGTGATGGAGGAGACGCCCAGCATCCTCAGAGTGCCCTACGAGCCGTCCCGGAAGGCCGGCAAGTTCACTTAGCGTTGGCAAGGGAGGGAAGGAAAGGAGACTGTTGCTTAGAGAAACTGTGCCGCCAGTCTCATTACCACTCACCTTCGTTGTGGACACTGTGTCACCTGTAAAGATTAGCAGGGCCTCTCACCAGTGACCTTTGAAGGGAGCTAATCACTTAGAATCAGTTAGAAGTGGGCCAGATGCTCAGTGAATACGCAGTCCCTTAGGATCCTCTTCGGTGCTAGGCCAGCCCACTCATGTGCCATGGGCCTAGAAACAGCTTCAGGAGTACATGAGTTATTCCTCAGGAATAGATTTCTCGTGAAGCAGAACTGATGCTGTGGTTGGTTTCTCAAGTCAATTTACAGACATGCAGCTTCAGGAACAGTGCTCATACGACACTACGGAAAATCAGTTCATATTTTATATGCATAGATTTACATGAATACACACTCATGAATCTTTGTATATAAAATTATGCATATACCTCATGTATACATGTGTTTTTAGAACATTTAAAAACAACTGGTTGCCTCTAAGGTTAGGATACCAATTTCATAGCTGGAAAAAGCGTATGCTCCATCGACGCAAGACAAGTCATTGTCACTCCTGTTTGCTATGGAGACTGCCTCCAGTTCTCGACTGCGTGAGCCTGGGTTTCAAGGTGAGCTGCTGGGTACTGTGCCAGCGTCCAGTCTCCACTTTCTGCAAATGCTCTAAAATCCCTTTTTAAAGAATGACGAATTTTAGGAAACTTCATTAACTTCACAGCAGTTTCTTTGAATTATCTTCACGTTTGAGTTTTGTGTAAGGTATAAGAAGATGATAAGCTAATGCAACTTGTTTTGTTGCAGTTTTGCATGCCTTTAAATCACTATCAAAACAATATGAAGTTATATCTGAAAATAATCTTGGGGGGAAAAATAGATGATGGTCTGGTGCCTGATAATGCAAAGCAACGGGCACATTCTAGCCCTGAAGATCAGGCTTGGTCTCGGGTTACATAAATAATAGAACAGATGGTTGCCTTTGGGTCTTGAACCAAAACAAGATTTACTAAAGGAGGAATGAGTTTTTGGAGCAGATCTGTACCAGCCTGGCAGGCACATTACACCCACCCCCAAAGAATTGATTCATCACCAAATTATATGTCTTTGAGTCCGCAAGCCTGTTATATATTTGCACAAAATTATTCTGAAATATAAATTGAAAAAACTGGTATTTATTCTTATTTTGCAGCTTTAAGAATCTAAAGTACTTACCGTGAAACACTGAGTGTATCTGTGTCTCCAAATTTAAAGTGAAAACTGAATTTCTATATAGAGACTTCTATATCCTCCAGTCCTTTACAAAACTGCATTTTCTGATATTTATCTTTGTTGAGTTTATTGAAAGTTAAATAAAAAGCACTATGGTAGTTTTGCTTACTTTAAATTTTTAAAATCAGATTAGTTAAGCTTATATTTGTAAACTAAAATCTCTTCTTGTTTGTATTTCTGAGTTTCTTTAGTTTCCCTATGACAGTGTGCATTTTGAAATTATGAAAAATTTCTCTGAGTAACAAAAATGCAGTGCTTTTCTAAAATTAAGAAATGGAGAAGGAAAAGCAGCTTATATCAAGGTTCCCCTCCACTTACAACTAAAGTTCTATAATAAGCTTCAGAATCTGGTACAGAATTTTATTTCCCCATTTGAGGTCCTGGTAAGTGTTATTTTTTAACATGGTGCCATTTTAAGTTAGCATTTATTTTAAATGTTTCAAATTCTTAGCATTTGTTTTTTTCTGATAGTATTACTGAAGCTCTTCTTATACTTTTTATAAAACCAAATTCCATGTTTTTTCAGTATTATGTCAGATATCTACAGATATTCTAATATGCTTTGGCTAAATTTGCTCTTTGTAGAATCAACCAAGATACCAGTTTTGTACAGGGGATATATTTTACATGAATAGAGCTCATTAAAACGTATTGTTCAAGTACTGCTTTTTTAAAATTCATATTTGAGAAGAAATTATTTGCCTATCAAAAAACCATTAAGGATTAGACTTACCTGTACATGAGTGATTTGATTATACTGAATCAGTGTTTTTATCTTTAAATCTGAGAAAAGAATTGTATTTAAGATCAGATCTATATTCATCACTGCCTGAAAATGTTTTGTTCTGGTGTTTATGAATTTTCGTTCATGACCTGGAGTCTACTTATTACCTGTTTTCATAGTCTATATAATGAACTAAAAACAGAAAGTAAACTAAAAATGAGTTCCCAAGTAACATATCCATCTTTGCTGTGAGAAATGTTGGAAATAGAGAGCCATGTGCTAGTTAAATAGTACCCGGCACAAGAGTCTTAGGAAGACACATGTCACATTCGCTCTGATGGCTGAGGAAATGCGTGCTCCGAAACACTGTCATCATAGGAGTGTTTCTTTAGATCACAGTGTTGGTATTTCTCACAAGCCTGTCTCAACCTGACCTACTTAGGTTGCATCATTAAGCTATTATTTTAAAAACAGTATTGCTTAACAACCAGTTATCCCCCCCCCACCACCCCTAGATCTAAAATTTAGCTTTGAAAGTGTTAAATATGCCATCCTACTACTTAGGCTGCAAATTCCATTTATTGAATACCAGGGTCCTGTCTCGGCCTTGTATATAAAAAATGTGCAGCACGTTGATGAGGAACGCGGTAAATATGGCTTTCTGCTGCTGTGTTCCTCCGTATTGAGCCTGGTTTTGCCATCCTCCCATTAATGTATATTACCCATAGATTATACATAACTCCCATTAATGTATATTACCCATAGATTACACATACTCCCATTACTGTATATTACCCATAGGTTACACATAACTCCCATCAATGTATATTACCCATAGATTACACATACTCCCATTACTGTATATTACCCATAGATTACACGTAACTGCATCTCTTGCTTTCTGCAGTAAATCAAGATTTAGTTGTGATTTTCCAGCTGTGAACATGTTGCCTTGTATTTAAAAGGGTTTCATGAGGGAGACCTGAGTAAAACTAAGCTCATTAGTGATAGGCTTGCTTTCTTCATGTCCTTCCATCACCCCCCCCCCATGCCCCTTGCCTACCACCCCTGGAGGGTGCTTATTCTTTAACGAGGAGAATCTAAAGATAAAAATTAAATAATAAGAACTGCTGTTTAGTGTGTCTACAGTAATTGTCACACCAGAGCTTTTATTCTCCTCTGTAGTTGTTAGAGGCAGCAGCCTGCCTCGGATTCCCAAGTCAGGCTGAAACTTCGTTGATGTTCATGTACTCACATGTCTTAGAGATGTGGTAGGTGTCGCTTGTGTGTGTGCAAGTGAAGTATAAAGCATGCGCGTCCACCTGGCCTCTTGGAAGTGAGAGGGATGCTGCTGGTTTGTGGTGGCCGATGTGAGGGTCTGTCAGCACACGTGGAAGGTCCCATTTTCACAGATGTGTAACTTTAATAATGCAGATGCAATCATTGGGAGTATTTAATATGCAATAGGTAGCACCTTAACTAATTAATCTGCATATGAAGGGTTTTCTGATGTATTTAATAAGAAGCGAAGAAGCTCTTCAAGCATTAAACTAGAGTTGACATTTTATTTAATTTATTTTCTCTATCAAGAAATCTACTCTTACAATGGAATTGAAGTCTGCAACAAATGATTTATTTGGACACATTCATCTTTGAAGCTTTCATTTGGGTTGTATTTTGAGGTACAAAAAATGCTGCAGATCTAGGAATGTATATATGTAGTAGGTATTTGAAAGATACAAGCATTATTTATAACTGAAGAGTATTATACTTCCTAAGTAAATGCTCTAGTAACTTGTGTACAGTTTTTGCAGGTACAAACTCAAAAGTATGTAAGCATACTTGTAAAATGTGACAGTTGCATAATTTATGTATTCTGATGCATGAATCAGGATTTTATATAATATATGATTATTGATTTATTATAGTTGATTAAAGTGTTCAAGCTTAATTCTGCTGTCAGCATTTCTTATTGCAGAAAAAATAGTGTTATAATGTGTTCTACTTGTCTTTTAATAAATCCTTAGAACGCCTCTCAGTGGTGTGTTAGTGCATGGGGTGTGCGTGGGGCAGTGCACTGGGTGGCTGTGTTGCCGCCGACCACGAGATGTGAGCTCTGGGCTTCTTGCCTGTGAGTTGCAGGCGTGTGGAGCAGGGGCTTCCTCTGCAGAACAGAACCCCTTCCTCTCCTGGCAATGCCCCACACACCTCTGTGCGAGCAGCCATCCAGAAGAGCCCTGGTGCTGCGTGCTCTCTGCCTGGAAGATGTGTCCCCCCGGGGCGGGGATTGGTGGCCGGTGATGTCGGAATGCTTACTTGCAGGCCCAGGCTCTGTTTCTGCCTTTTTTTTTTTTTTTTTCATTTCTTCCTCACAACAGCCCTGTGAAGTAAGGAATGTCCAGGGTCTCCCAGGAAATCTGAAGGCTACTGAGGAAATATGATTTGTGGTGCTTGAGAAAGAGCCACAGTGAGGGTTTCTCATCGCTTTCTGTCCCCTGGCTTGGCAGAAGCCCCCAGTCGACCGCCGCCCCAGTCCCCTCGGTAGAAGCCTGAGTGGGTACACACCTGTCCACGTGAGACGGCAGCGGAGGGGAACGTGGGTGTCCCCTGTGTGCATGCACGTCCACGGAGGAGTGCGCCTGGCAGCGTGGCGGGTGGTTGAGTTGTTCAGGTCGTGAGATGTGATCCCCGTGTGGTCGGGGTGAACGGGACGTCTCGGTTCCAGTGGCTCTCGATTCCGGAGGCCCGTCTAACCGGCCCCGCCACTTCCCACGGTAGCCCCTCTGGATCTTGTCCTTTCTGTCTGTCACTGCACATCTTCTCCTCCTTCGTCTCTGGAGACAAAGATACTTGGGATAATTTGGGAGTACACAGCTATATTCTGTGACAGCGACCATTTTTCATGTAGGTCATAGTGCCTGTATCAGAAATTTTTGATTTTGTGATATGAATTCCCAACATTTTACGTTTTTCCTTGAATAATTTTGCATGATCACATAACTTAATACTTTCAAATTGTTGATGATTGGAAGCAATATTTATGGGCAGTATTTTTATTTACATGAACTGGAAGTGCTTAATTTGTTCTTATACTCCGTGCACCCTAAAGTTTGGTCTCTAAGTGTTCAGTGGTTTTGTCGTTTGTTGGGCATACTAAAAAGCCAGCTTGATTCTGAGAAGCGTGAAATCAGACTTCTTTGCCAGGGTTTTCAGGTATGGTCTATGCGTTCAGATGTAACTCATGGTCTGACTTCTCATTGATGTTAATACCCAAGTTTGCAGTTGAGTTTTTATTTTTCACTTTATGTTTCTGTGTGGGAGCAAACTGTTGAAATCCTTACTTAAGGTATACTAAGCTGATCTTCTGTATATTAAGATAATCGAAAATGAATCTTGATGTGAATGCAAGGGGAGAGGGAGTGGGAAAGGGGAGGGTTGTGGGTGGGAGGGACGGTATGGGGGGGGAAGCCATTGTAACCCATGAGTCATACTTTGGAAATTTATATTCATTAAATAAAAGATAAAAAAAAATAAAGTAAATTAGGACAGGGGCAGGCATTGTAGCATAGTGGGTTAGACCACTGCTGGGGCACCTGCATCCCATATCAGAGTTGGTGTCCTGGCCACTCCACTTCTTATCCTGCTTCCTGCTGATGCACCTGGGAAGCAGCACTGATGGTCAAGTACTTAGAGCCCTGCCACTCAGGTGAGAGACCCGTATGGAACTCCTGTCTCCTGGTTTCAGCCTGATCAGCCCTCGCTGTTGTGACCATTTGGGGAGTAAACCAGCAGATGGAAGATTTCTCTCCCTCCCTCCCTCTCTCTCTCTCTGTGCATTTCCATAAATAAATCTTTTAAAACAGAATAGAACACACTCAAGATGATCGCTGCTCCAGCAGTGCGTTCTGTCAGGCTCCGGCGGGTAACAGCAGCGTGTGATTCCGCCCTGCTGTGCAGTTCCCAGCAAATTCCCATTTGTGCTGCAAGCCGCAGTGTAGGGATTTCGCCAGCTCAGACCCGAGCCAGGTAGGCGCTGGATTGCAGGGCAGGTCTGGTGTAACGAACGCCGCGGCGAAATTGCTAAACCCAATCTTTCCAGAAAACTGAAAATAATAGATTTCTGTGTGAAATATGAGTTCCAAATGTTGGCAGATTTTTTTTTTTGAAGCAACCAAAACCTGAGAGCCGTCAGTTTTCCATTTTCCACTGAGAGTCGAGGTTTCTGATGAAGCATCATTCGTGGTCCTCATGAGCATCGTCGTGGAAAGAACAATTCAGAGCAGGGTGGTGGTTTTGCTGCCCAACAGATGATTTTGTGTGTAACCAAAAACCGGGTTGGCGAGGGGCAGGTGGGGTGCTTGTGACCATAAGACAGGATGTGAGGGTCAGGAGACCCGCTGCACCACGTCATGCCCACAGTCAGCAGCGCTGTGCTAGGCATTGACACATCTGTTAAACGGACAGGTCTCATGGCACATGTTCCTGCCGCCACAGTAAAGACAAGTTTTCTTGCAAAAAACAACTTCTCTAGCTTACTTGTGCCTGAGCCTGACTGGGCTGTGCCTTTTAGGGGAAGCCAATGCGGTCCCCGAGGGCTGCCGTTCGTTCTGGATTCGAGCATTCCAGAACGCTATCCCGGGAGCTCATGCAACCTCCCTTCCTGGGGGTTGGGAACTTTTCAGTATCTTTGTGACAGTTTTGCCCTGTTGAAAAACATCGTATGAAAACCATTAATGTCCCCAGAAGCAATTCATGTACCATTGTGCTGTGTTAAGATCAAACCACATATGGTGCCTGCCGGTTTTCAGTAAGGTCAAGTGCATGTTTCTCTTGTGATCTTCAGGGTATAGAATACATATTTCTTTCTTTCTTTCTTTCTTTTTTTTTTTTTTAAATATTTTTGACAGGCAGAGTGGACAGTGAGAGAGAGAGACAGAGAGAAAGGTCTTCCTTTGCCGTTGGTTCACCCTCCAATGGCCGCCGCGGCTGGCGCGCTGTGGCCGGCGCACCGCGCTGATCCAATGGCAGGAGCCAGGATCCAGGTGCTTTTCCTGGTCTCCCATGGTGTGCAGGGCCCAAGCACTTGGGCCATCCTCCACTGCACTCCCTGGCCACAGCAGAGAGCTGGCCTGGAAGAGGGGCAACCGGGACAGAATCCGGCGCCCCGACCGGGACTAGAACCCGGTGTGCCGGCGCCGCTAGGCGGAGGATTAGCCTATTGAGCCGCGGCGCCGGCAGAATACATATTTTCATTAAAATACAATGGCCGTTGATTCCCTAGTTCGGTTTTATCCGCCAGCCACTTAACTCTCTCCCGTCCTTTCTCGCACAGCCAGTTCAGGAGAGGAGGATGGTCTAGATGGCTGGCTCTTGAAGTTTTGTCTGCAGAGCTGCAACCGTCAGTGCCGCTGGGAGTTGCTAAGATTTTGGATCCCCAGACCTGGGCCACTAGGGCCAAACAGGCCTCCCAGGTGGTTCTAAAGCAGATCCACATTTTAGAACCATCGAGATAAAGACTGCTCCTCCCCCAACTACATTGTTCCTTCAGCTTGGTGTAGTATAAAGAATCCTCTCTTTTGTTGGCTTATTGTAAGCCTCCTTGCCAATATGGAAGCCGTTTAGACATGTTTTCTTTTTGTTCAGTTTTTTTTTTAAGAAAAGAATGTATTTTAAAGAAAAATTTCAAATATGAAAGTTCATCCAGGTTGAATGTTCCTGAGATACACACAGTGCCTTCTGCAGAGTAGCTTCGTGCTAACTGCTGTTGCTTATTGATCCATGTTTTTGTTTGTGCAGTAAGATTTGATCTGGTGATTGCGAAGGAGGGGAATATACCCTGGGCGCTAATGTAGAGCCACCAGGATGTCCCTCAGTCTGTTGGGACGTGGCTTTGCCAAGTTGGGTTAAGAAGGGCAACTTTCCCGGCCCTGAGGAAGCCTTCCCTGTGCTAGAAGACACTTAGAGAGTAGGAACAGAAGTAGAGAGCAGCCCCACAAGGAATGTGCTAGAAAGAAGTCGTGAGCGTGTGCCCGAGGTTGTGTGATGGACCTTGAGATACCAAAGGAAGCCCAGTTGTGATTCCCGTGAGAAGTTTTACTTGACCCGTGTTTTTTGATTTTGTTTTTCTGCCATGGCAGTAATCATTTTGTCAAATCACCTGTTCATGGAAAACTCATGTTCCTTTTGTCATCAGAACAGGGTCAAGATCTCATTTCTAGAGAAACAAGTGAGGGTTTTTTTTTTTTAATTTTTTGTAAGATTTATTTATGAGACCAGCATTGTGGCCTGGTGAGTTAGCTGCTGCCTGCCACACAGGCATCCTGTATGAGTGCTGGTTCGAGTCCCAGCTGCTCCACTTCCGATCCAGCAACCTACTAATATGCCTGCTAAAGCAGCAGAAGATGGCCTAGGTGCTTGGGCCCCTGAACCCATGTGGGAGGCCCAGATGAAGCTCCCGGCTCCTGGCTTTGACCTGGCCCAGGCCTGGCTGTTGGCAGCCATTTGGGAAATAAACCAGCATATAGAAGATCTCTGTCTCTAACTTTGACTTTAAAAACATTAAATAAACCTTTAAAAAGAGATTTACCTATTTGAAAGTGAGAGTTAGAAGAAGGTCTTCCATCCACTGGTTCACTCCACAGATGGCTGCAATGGCCAGGGCTGGGGCCCACCAAAGCCTGGAGCCAGGAGCTTCTTCCAGGTCTCCCATGTAGGTGGCAGGGGCTCAAGTACCTGGGCCATCCTCTGCAGCTTTCCCAGGCACATTAGCAGGGAGCTGGTTTGGAAGTGGATCAGCTGGGACTCGAACTGACACCCTTATGGTATGCAGGCATCGCAGGTGGCAGCTTTACCTGCTACACCACAACACCAGCCCCAGGTGAAATTGTAAAATCTTGTAAGTTCTTACATCAGACATTAAGAACACTAAATGGTCAGAGAAAGGCTGTAGAT